CTCCTCCCTCCTCCTCGTCTCCCTCACTCCACCTCCTCCTCCTCCTCCTCCTCCCCTCCTCTTCCTCCTCCTCCTCCTCCCCTCCTCTCCACCTCCTCCTCCCTACTCCTCCACCTCCTCCTCCTCCTCCTCTCTTCCTCCTCCTCCTCCTCATCTTCATCCTCCTCCTCCTCCTCGTCTCCCTCCACCTCCTCCTCCTCCTCTTCCTCCCCCTCCTCCATATCCCTGTGTTGCCCCCTTTTGTCATATTCCTGCGCCTCCCCAAAGTGTCCCCAACTAAAAATTCCTCACCGGCTGGCGGAATACATGATCCAAAAACTTGGCCTACCTCTGGCCCAACGTTTAGAACTAGCGTCGTGTGTGCTACATCCTGATACAGCAGGGATTTTTGAAAACCGCGTTCCCGATATGGCCCCCAAAACGGTTAAGTTTGTCAGAGATGGCTCCCAAGCGGTCCCAACACGCGTTCAAAACGTCCAACGTGCCCCCCCCCCAATATATATATATATATATATATACAAAATATGCTCCCAAAGCGAGCCATGCTAGAGCCAAAACGGTCAACGATGGCCCAGGTCACGGTCTCGGACGCCCCTGGTGCGATCCAAGCTGCTCAAGAAGATTATCGGGAGGCCAAGTTCCATTGATGACCAAGTTGGCTGTCTATGATTTGTAAGATTCCCACCGTCTCGGTTTTCCGACTGTCTCAGGCGTCCCCAGCGGCCTACTAGACTGCCCAATGGGCCCTCAGAAGGGCCCCAACGGCCCCCAAACTATCAAATATAGACCCCAACACGGTCGAGCTTTCTCCAAGAAGGCCAGGATGAGATTAGATGGCCTCCAGAACGATCCAATCGGCTCTCCAAAACGCCCAAACTTGCCCCGAGACGCTCCAAGATTGCTCCAAGGAGGCTCACAATGGCCCCAACAAGACCCAGACGATCCCAAGAGGCCTCCAATACGCCACTTCCTCTTCGTAAACCAAATCATCCTCCTCCTTTTTCCCGATCGCTCCCCCGCTCATACACCCCCAGATGATCCCCGAAGGGTTTCCACGGCAGCTGGGGGAACACGCGCGCTAGTGCAGCGGCTGCATTTCGCTCCAACGCGTCGAAAATCCACGGTGGCGGAAAGGACGGCGGCCGCCGGATCCGCCACCTACTGGGCCCGCCGCGTCAGCGCTGGCGTGCCAAACGCTGTTTCTGAGAACCCCCCCAACAGTTCCCAAAGAATCTTGGCCGAGGCGCGCCGCGACAGGCAATCCATTCAGAATCAGCGCGGGCCCCACCCCCCTCCAAAACGGCCGAAACGGCCCCAGGCGCGCCGCAGAAGACACACACGCACACGACAACACCGAAACACCCGGCAACAATCATAGCACAATAGCAACGGAAGAAGCGGCACTGCGGCGGCGACGACGCCAGCGACGACGCTGCGCCGATGATGGAAGGTCATCCACGCGACGCGCGCGCCAGCGTAGATTATGGTACGGCAGCTCCGATCATGCCAGGGCGCTGAAGACGCTGTCTGACGACGCGCGGCCTCCGCGGAGGCGCCGGACACGGCCCTGCGCGAGACCCCTGGCGTCATTTGACGCGTCGGGGCCCGTGTCGCATTCTCAAATCAGCGGGTGCCAAGGTGCGCGAGACGGCGAAGCGCTGGTCAAACCGAGCGGCGGGCAGCACCCGAAGCTAATGCAGGCGCGAAGCGAAAAAGAAAGGGACGAACGAAATCGACGAAGAAGGAGCCCGCTCAGGCCACGTAGGTCGGCACGGGTGCGCCGCGGAAGGACGTGCATCTGCGCGCGAACAGCCTGGGTCACACACGCCGTTCCATAGAATGGCCACGTGGGGGCAGGCGCGGCAGCTCTGGGCACGGCCCTGCGCAGAGGACACCTGCGCTTCATGGCGCGAGGGGCGCCGCGCCATGGCGGCGCTGGGCATGGTCCTGCGCGGGAAATTCCAGCGTCCTGCGACGCGTCGAACACCGTGGCGCACGGGCGGGTTATCTTGTCCGCGGACGCTTGGATCCCCTCTCGCACTGCTTACAGATATTGACGAAAATCTGGTTGCCGTACTAATTGAAAGCAGAGGTCTCTGACCAATCGTCGCAACCCTGGCCCCCCCGCGAGTCCTTCTGGCCTGGGTTAGCAGGGCACTTCTCGCGCTCGGCGCGGCGCTCGCCGAGCGGGCACAAATAGTTCAACGGCAGATCTTCCCCGCATGTATTGCCGAGCCTCTTGCTCGCGAAGACATCGCCGAGCTTCCCCGGCTTATTCTCATCCGACGCGCACCTGCAAATTGAAAATCTGAGAGATCAGCTGGCGCCCACCTAAAGGCGACTCTCCGCTTCCACATGGGACCAGGGTCGGCCCCCACACCTGGAGCACGACGGAGCAAAGCACTCTTTATATACATGTACCAACCACCCGACTTCCGGACGTCATCCAAACGATACTTCTTATCGTTCGTGGCGGCGCCACGTTGGCCTGTTGTCATATTGCCAGGCGGCTGCCAACGATAAGAAATCAGCGGTGGGCTTCTCAAGTAGGGGCGAACGACGGAAATGTGCCTCAAGGCAGCCGACGTGGCGCCACAGCCAGCGTCAGAAGACGCGAGCTTTGCTGGCAACGCGCGAAAGAATGTTGAGTTGAACATATGACCCGCACTCGCCTTGCGAATGTAATGCTCGAATTGACCTGCGTGCCTCATTCTCCATAAGCACTCACGCGTGAACCTGAGTATGTCGTCGAGTTCCACCTCCCTCCATTCCACGCATTCGTCTGTAAGGTCATCGCGGGTGGGATGTGACCCCCACCAATACTTCAGACAGATCTGCCAGAAGTTCCCATCACGGTCTTGCGAATATGTCGGGCTGTACCATCCGCAACAGAAGCAATAATAGAAACTGGAGCCCATCTGCAACTACGGAAGAGCGAGACGAAAAGGAAGTGCGCAGGCCATACACGTATATGAAAACACGCTCTCGCCCAGGAGGCTACGGTGTCATGCCCTGTTCTCCGAACGCCGTCTGTGCAATTTCGGGGAACGCGCTCCAAAGAAATACCGGACAGCAGACGTGCTGGCAAAAACTCTGGTGATCGCGGGGGCGAAGGGAAACCGTGATTCGCATCGCGCCGTGCGCGAGATCAAACGCACCCCACTATCCGATAGACGCCCTCTCCTCCTCGTTATGTTCCTCCATCATGCGCTCCCCTAAGCGTTCCCACAACGGCTAGGGGAACACGCAGTCCGATAGGGTGGCCGAGCTCTGACAACAACGCTCGGCCACGTAGACGACTCCCAAGGCAGGGGGGGCGGCGGGGATTACCCGTAGGCGGTTTCGACACCTCTCGGGCCGCGATCTTCAACACGCGGCGCCTCCCTGCAGTCAGGAGCTTTGCTTTCGGGCGCTGGAGGTGCTACTCTTCTCCAGTGGTTGTGAAGAGGACGAACGTTTGGGCGGGGCTTGCTCGCAAGCCGCAGAGCTGACATCGATGTGGCAGCACATTGGCCCCACTACTGACATCCTCCTCCTCCTCCCCTCCTCCTCCTCCTCCTCCTCCTCCTCCTCCTCCTCCTCTCGCCCTCCCCCTCCCCTCCCCCTCCCCCTCCCCCTCCCCCTCCTCCTCCTCCTCCTCCTCCTCTCCTCCTCCTCATCCTCCTACTCCTCCTCCTCTTCCTCCTCCTCCTCCTCCTCTACTCGTCCTCCAGTCCTCCGCTGAGTCCTTGGGGCAATATCACTGCCGCACAATGCTCAATCATCCTCGTTCGTAGCCTCTCCGTGCTACCTGCCCGCTCGCCGCTCTCGTGCCCCCCTCCGCTGCCGCTGCCCTACTCCGCAAAGAGCACGCACACCTGGGAATGCTTCCTGGCAGGCTGCTCCCAACTTGCGCCGCCTTCCGGTTGCTGGGGACCCTCTTCCTCCTTCGCTCTTTCTCTCTCCCTCGCTCTCTCTCTCTCTCTCTCTCTATCTCTCTCTTTCCCCCTATCTCTGTCGCTCTCTCTCTCTCTCTCGTTATCTCTCTATGTTTCTAGATCTTTCTCTCTGTCTGTGTTTCTCTCTCTCTCTCTCTTTTTATGTATTTCGCTCTCTCTCTCTCTCTCTCCTTCTCTCTCTCTCTCTCGCTCCCTCTCTCTCTCTATATATATATATATATATAAATATGTGTGTGTTCCCCCTCTCTCTGATCTATGTGTTCCGAAAGCAACCAAGACCGTGCGCCTGGGGCCACTGTCATCCACACCGTGCAGCGTAAGTCCCTTCCGAGACGAGGCAGGAATGATGGAGCGCATCACAGTCATCCAGGTCGGACTGCGAAACCTCGTATCTCGATTATGCTCCTCATATTCCTGCTCCTCCTCCTCCTCGTCATCAGCAGCATCATCCTCGTCCACATCCTCATCCTCATCCTCATCCTCATCGTCCTCCGCATTATCATCCTCACCCGATCGCCATCAGCAGCATCAGCATCAGCATCAGCATCATCATGAGACTCGTCCGCATCCGCATCCTCGGTATCATTCCCCTCATCCTCATCCTCATCCTGACCCTCAGGCATCGTCATCATCATCATCATCATCATCCTCATCATCATCATCATCATCATCATCATCATCATCATCATCATCAGCAGCAGCAGCAGCAGCAACAGCATCACCACCACCACCACCACCACCATCATCATCATCATCATCATCATCATCATCATCATCATCATCATCATCATCATCATCATCATCCACCTCATCCTCCTCCTCCTCATCATCATCATCATCCTCATCATCATCATCCTCCTCCTCATCATCATCATCATCATCCTCATCATCATCATCATCATCATCATCATCATCATCGTCGTCATCGTCGTCGTCGTCGTCATCATCGTCCGCGTCCCTCTTCCTCCACCACCACCACCTCCTCCTCGTTTGCCCCCTCCTGCCCCTTGTCCCATGTACCTCCTTCTCCGCTGCCCGACCGACCACAGCCCCCCCCCCCACCCGCGGCAGGAAAGGCCGCAGCCGCACGCAGACAGTCACGGAGCTGCCAGCCACGTTCGCCGCCATGGATCGCGACTCCCTGGCCCCATTCACTGGGCTCTCGGCGTCGCCACTGTCCTACGCAATTACGCAAGAAGACCTACGCTTGACTGAGGCGCAGCGAGCCCTTGCACGCATGCCCGTGGCAACAAACAAAAGCAACAACCAAAAAGCTGTCCGAGACCCACAAGAGTACGCAGCAATCTGGTCTCACAGTGGGGGTCATCACCCTTCGATCCCCTCCGCCTCCTCCTCCTCCTCCTCCTCCTCATCATCATCTTCCCCCTCTTCCTCCTTTCCTCCCCTCATCCTCCCTCATCATCCTCCTCCCCCATTCGCCGCCTTCCTATCCTCATCCTCTTATTCATCCTGAGGACGGTAAGGGAAGGGAGGGAGAAAAGACCAGAAGGAAAGGAGGGCGTGGAGGGAGGATGAACGAAAGAGAACAAGGAAGACAGCGAACAAGGAGGAGAAGGGAAGAGGCAGAGGCGGGCTCCGCTTGAAGGCGCGGTCGCCTGGCGGGCGGGATCCTTGCAAGCAAGAAATGGTAAGGGTTGCATCCTGGGCGTCCTGATGTCTCCTGGTACCTCCCGGGGTGTCTGAGTCCCCACAGTGCCTCCCAGGGTTTGCATCTTGCCCCGCACCCCATCCCACATCACGAGTCCATTTACTGGGGAGGCCACTTGAGTTCTGTGAAGTTTTTCTCGGTGCCCTGGGCCTCCATGGACTGTCTGCATGACTATGTCTGCCCACGATACGAAAGCAGCGCACCCCAATAAACGTTCAAGCATATCGGCCAGCAAATATTGAGCTCTGCTTTGTCTGTGCGAATACGCGCTGGCCCGCCAGTATGGCGCCTCGGCACGACGTGGAGTGGTTTCAGGTCCCTTCGTGTTCTCTGCCATGAATACTGCACATGCTCCGAAAGGGCCCCAGACCTCGAATCTCAGAACTCCTGGGGCGTGTCGCGCAGCCTGTCCCGAGGCTCGGGGCGCTCACAGACTGTCACTAGGACCACCGCGCCAGCTTCGCGCGCGCCCAAAGCTCGACTTGCCATAGGGGCCGAGGGTATGGCGCATCAGAGGGGCCGTGACTGGACGATGCGGGACTTGGCTTGGAAACGCACGCACTAGTGTCTGAGGTAGCCCTGGGGCTTTGTGCTCGCGGAGGAGGAGGAGGAGGAGGAGGAGGAGGAGGGCAGTCCCGGGCGATCCTTGAGCACGTGCAGCTCTCTTCGGGACCATTTGGCATCGTGGAGCCGCACGGCGGCAACGCATGGGAGCTCCAGAGAAAGCGAGGGAGACACGCCGGGATGCCTTTCGGTCTCTGACCGAGTTGGTTCTCTCGGAAGTCCTGTGCGAGCACTCTGGCGGCTTCTTGGGGCCTCATGGTGCTGCTGGAGAGTTCCTGCGAAAACCTGGGGGACGCCCGGGACCGTCGTGGGGCCCACTTGGATTTCCTGCACAGCTCTGAAGGCCTCCCGGGGAAGCTCGGGGAAGGCTTCGGGGAAACCCCCGCAGGGGCGGCGCCCACAGGGTACCATGGGTGCCCCGTGTGTGCTGCGGCCAGGACCGCTGGGGTCGGGCTTCTGGTGCCAGGGCTGTCTGGAAGATGGTGGTACCAGGGGGCGAGACAGAAGGGGGGGGCAGGAAGAGCAGAGTGGAGGAAGGCTGGAAAAGGCGGAAGAGGAGGGAGTGGGGAGGAGGGACGGTGGAGGGAGGAGGCGGACGTAAAAGACACATGGGGGAGGAGGAGGAGGAGGAGGAGGAGGAGGAGGAGGAGGAGGAAGAGGAGGAGGAGGCGGAGGAACATAACAGTTGTTTGTGCGGGGTGCCGGGTGCGCCGGGTGGGTGTGCCGGGTGCGCTCGGCGCCGGGTGCGCCGGGTGTCCCGGGTGCACTCGGCGCCGGGTGCCCGGCCGCCAGGTGTGCCGGGTGTGCCGGGTGCGCTCGGCGCCGGGTGCGCCAAATGTCCCGGGTGCCCTCGGCGCCAGGCCGCCGGGTGTGCCGGGTGCGCCGGGTGCACTCGGCGCCGGGTGCGCTCGGTGCCGGGTGCGCCGGATGTCCCGGTTGCTCTCGGCGCCAGGTGCCTGGCCGCCGGGTGTACCAGGTGCGCCGGGTGCGCTCGGCGCTGGGTGCGCCGGGTGTCCCGGGTGCACTCGGCGCCGGGTGCCCGGCCGCCGGGTGTGCCGGGTGTGCCGGGTGCGCTCGGCGCCAGGTGCGCCGGGTGTCCCGGATGCACTCGGCGCCGGGTGCTGGGCCGCCGGGTGTGCCGGGTAAGCCGGGTGCACTCGGCGCCGGGTGCGCTCGGTGCCGGGTGCGCTCGGTGCCGGGTGCGCCGGGTGTCCCGGATGCTCTCGGCGCCAGGTGCCTGGCCGCCGGGTGTACCGGGTGCGCTGGGTGCACTCGGCGCCGGGTGCGCTCGGCGCGAAGGGTGCGCCACGAGCGTCGGGTTCGCTCGGCGCCGGGTGCGTTCGGTGCACCGGGTCTTGTGCTGGGTGCGCCGGGTCTACCACGAATCGTTAACGCCACGCCCGCAGGGCGCCTGTCCTTCAAATGTGCGCGTCCAGTTGTGAACAAAGAAAATATGAAAGGACTTGTAAGTATACAAATCGGGACATGGGACGGGAAGATGCATGGCAATATCGTCCCACATCATCCTCATTCTTATTCCTTATTTGTATATACTCCTACTCTCCCCTCTGTCTGGCCGATGGCGGTTGCATCCCGGCTCTCCCATCCAGACTGTGTGACATCAGTGCAAAATGCCCGCTTTTCCCCCCAGCATGGCTTGTCTTGTCGTCGACGATGCGAACTCCGTAGCAGGAACGGGACGCGGCGCACATCGCTCGCGGACGTCAATCTGGGCACTCCCATCCTATCTGTCAAAACTCAACACAAAGTCTCCGCTTTTCCTTTCAACATGGCCTGTCTTGTCGTCGGCAATGCGAATTGCGGCCTCCTGAAGCCTCCTGGGGCCCCCTGGAGCTTCCCACCACCTCCTGAGGCCTCCTGAAGCCTCCTGGGGTATCCTGAGGCTTCCTGGGGCCTCCTGGGGCATCCTCGGCTCGTGCTGAAGTGCCAGCGCAGCCACTGAGACGAGCGAGAACTTCCCCATCGGTAACCACCATGGCGGCTGCATCAGCTGCGGCACACCACCTTGACGATTTATTTCGGTTACCAAATGCGCCATCACTGTTTCTTATGTTGTGGTAGGGCGGGTGGGAATCACGGTGGGAATGTGCATGCCATGCTTGACTCGCTCGAACTGGCTAGCTTGAAAGTCCTTTCGCTCCTGGTCCTGATCCTCCTCTCTTGCGTCCTGCGCGAAGCCAGCATGCCAGAGCTGCCCAGCACAGGTACACCGAGGCCGTAGGGTTTCGATCGGGCACCAAAACTGCCAGAGAGCGCCCCACATCTAATCGGTCGGGGACCAGAACTGCCGGAGAGCGCCCCGCATCCTGGCACCCCGACGGACACCTGTCGCAGGCGTGGGCGGCTCGATTCACCCATGATCTCATTCGACTACGCTCCACTCCGACTCTACCACTCTCCCAGGGCGCGGCTGGGGCGCGCCCGCGCCGGTGCCGCGCCGCGGCCTGCCGCGCCGGCGGGCGTCGGCGCTGCGCCGCTGGCCGTCGCCGCCGCATCGGCCCCTTCCGCGCCGCCGGGCATTCCTCCTGCTACTCCGCCAGCCGCCGCCGTCGCGCCCGGGCCGCGCGGGGCCCCCGCCTGCCCGCCGGGCTCTGCAGCCCCCCGCTGCCGCGCGGCTCGCGGAGCGCTGGCGGAGGCAGGCCCCAATCGCACTCGTGTACGCCTGCAGGGAAACGCCGCACAGCTTCATCAGGCGGTTGTGGAATGGCAGGTGGAGGTCGCGGCGGTCGGGCGGCGGCGGCTCGAAGCGGATCCGCGGGGCGCCCGGCTGGTCCTCCGCGCTCGAGCAGTCGTCGCACGTTCCAATGTGATAATGGCCGAGCCCCGCCTGCATGACCGCCTTCAATGGTGCTGCCGGAGGGCGACTATTTTCCGCGGACGCCTGGCCCCTGGCTCGGCAGGGTCTTCCGGATGGAGCCACGCACATCCGAACAGAAGACAATGGGTTCTTCTCGCAAAATTGTTTTCTTCATAATCTCCCTGTCGGTGAGGAAGACGTCGCCGCGCTCCGACATCTGCACCGAGGCGCCGTCCTGAGGGAAGCCGATCAAGGGCGCGCAGTTCCACCCCCTGTCGCACCCCCTCTGAATCCACCGAAGCTTTTCAAACTGGGCGGGGCCCCTCCCCCCTGGCTCGAAACCCCCTTGACCTTGCCCACGCCGACCCCACGCAGCGCAAGCGCCATCTCTGGTCTTCGCCGTGCCCCTCATCCATGGAGGGGGCCCCCGGGGTCCAGTCACGGCCCCCGGTGGCCCCCGCGCGGGCGCGCGCGGGCGCGCGCGGGCGCGCGCG